ATCTGTTCCAGACTGCATTTGTCTTTTGCCGAAGCTCAGACTCTGGCACAGGATCGGGAAGGTTGGAAGCGCTGTCTGACGCGTCTGCCTCCGCGACCCGGAAGGAGAAGCGGCGATGGAAGATGATGAAGTTTCGTGGGTGGCTCTGTACCAACATCTGACATCTTAAAAGAGACATCGGAAATGACGAATCTTGAGGATATCTGTTGAAAATTGCATGAAATGCCCAGTCTATCTTAGGAGGCATTCCCACCGGTCAGAAAACGGGAACGTTCAGGATAAGGACGTCTCTAGTTTCTTGCTAACTTAATAGCTGCAATTTTTCTTGGGATACTGTTCGGCATTCACCCTGTTTGGATGCCTTATCGGTTTTCAAGATTTGGTCCTCCAGCCGGAGTTCCCTTGCACGCCCATACCTCTTGTCGCCTGCAAGAACGATCTGACAATGGGTTTCTTTCGACCATGTAGGATGGTGCTGCAAGTACTTGTTGTTAATCTTCTTTCTCTTCACTCTAAGCACTGATGCGTTTTTAGTAATACAGGGCAGTTTGGCTATCCTCTTCCTGACACAGAATACGTTTTGGGACCGAAACGACACCTTGTTTGAGGTCCCTGCAAGCATCATCGATGCTGACACTTCCTGACAGGACTTTAAAAGGGGACATTAAAATCTTTTTCCACTTGATTTCGTAGGCTAATCCCACAGCTTGTTCATGTTTTAGCCTGGCAAAATAAGCAGACGATGTGTTTCAACCAGACCACGTCGACGTGACAAATAATTTTAGAAGTTCTGCTATAAACTAATTGCGATCGTACCCAACTGAGGTGCCATGCCCGACGCGAGTCTCGAGGAATGATCTGCGATTGTTGATGACGTGCACCTGTTTAATAATGAAGAGAAAAAGCGCTGATCATGACAAAAGCAGAAGGTCACTAAAGGTGCAGAAGAGAACACTTCCTTGCATTTCATGGAGCTCGATTGGCCGGATGAATTCACTACTAAGAAACGAATAAATACTGAGCGGCAAACTATGGTTGTTAAAATAATTTGCTCAAGCCACTACAAAAGCATAATTCATCAACTGAACCAAGTGAAAACGAAAGTGAAGAGGAGGGCTAAAAGAATACAGAAGACAAATCATAAATTCCACAAGCACCGAATGACAAAACTTATCATTTCACGCACGACGGTTCTACAGTTAGCAACAACTGCCATTGCGATGCAGAGCTGGAGAGGATAAATACCTTAGAAGCGGCAAAATTTGGAAGCCTCGTTAAAACGTGATGCCAACAAAGTGTCGGCCAGAAGTAGAAGTTAAGATCTTGTCTTCGATTGTCTTGCTGAGCTATATCGCTTAAAGACGGTAACCACGCTGAAAGCTCGCGAGAGCCATCAGAGCGCTTAGGGGAAGAACCTGCGCAATATTTTGAAGATTTGCTTCAGCCATTGCTTAAAGAATCTGGGAATGCAGTCAGCATCTATATTAAAAGTGTCACAGGGCTCAATATTGTGGGGCTTGTTTCCCTTCAGACCGTAGGGTGGTCGTATAAGCCTCTCGTGAACCCTGAAACGCTAAGCTAACGAGACTCCGGCAGATTATTATAAAAGCCGGACTGCTGGTCATAATCAGCTAGTGGTTTGGCAGTTCATCTGGCAGGTAAATGAACTCTCGTCTGTGTAAGTCATTGACGGCCACTGCTGAACAAGCAGGCACCTGATAACATTGGAGTAAGGTGACTGCACTTCAGCCCTCTACGTCTCCCATGCACCAAAGAGACACAGTATAAAGGGACAATTAACTAGAAGAAATATAAACTCAAACTGCTGCAGCAGAGTTTCAGCCCGTGGCTTATCGACGCGGTGGCGTGAGGACATTTTTCTGATTGGCGCAACGATCTTCCGTCGACTATACGTACATGATGATCATCAGATTTACACATTGGAACCCATCCACAAAACTCGCCTTCCTGAAATATAAGGGCATCCTC